CCTTCCCACATGCTGTGGGTGATCCATGGTTCTTTGATGCCTTTGGCTTTGTCTGTTTGGAAAGCATTGAGTCTTACTAAGCTAGGCTATGTGCTAGTCAGGTGGCTATATGGGCGATCATCTGGCAAGTGGCGTGACCCAAAATTTTTAGCAAAAGTGTATAGCCAGGTACCATTTCTGAATTCGTTTGTGCTTTGGCTCGTGTTTGTAGAATGATTTGGGGACAGATCAAATGCCACATTGCACATGACTGAAATGTGTGAAAACTTAATTAATAGAATAATTACACAATAGAAATGAGATCTTGGTTAGTGAAAATCTGGCAGGAAGCTTGGGCCCTATGGAGCATGAGTCCAAATATTTAGTCAGTGGAAAAGCCATTAGTCACAAAGAGGCTGCATCTGTTGGAAGGAGTTGATCACATTCCTAACTTCAAAGAATAAAATATGCCTTAAAATACCCTTCTCTGGGCTTCTCAGGCTGCAAATGTATATGTGATTTTCTCCCAGCTACCTAAGTAAATTTGAATACCTCAATTTACTTCAGTTGATTTATGCCAGTTACATCAACAGAGGATCTGGACAGACCTTTATAACACCTGTACATCTAATAGCCCAGCACAGTGCATGAAAATTGGGCATTATCCTGCATCAGCCATCCCTTTTCAGCCAGCATGAGTAGCAGAAGGATTTGTGATTTATTAAATTAATTCCTTTTCTATAGAGTTCAATCTACACTGCTTCCCATGAGTTTCTACACTGGCAAGCCATGTGTTTCTTCTGAATACCATACATTCTTTGGGAAAAAATACTAAGATAATCAGACAGTCAGTGTAATTTTCTTGATATCAGGTTAGAGGCACATTGCCTAATTGTTTTACTCTTATCAATAAAAATTTGTATCATGCTAGAAATTGATCTTGCCTTTTTTTTTCCTAGTTTCTTAAATTATTTTAATTTTTGTCTGTTGGACAACTTTAAGTTCTAGGAATTAATTTTAAAATAAATTACTTTAGATATTCACTGCATTTCATTTTTTTCTTTTTAAACAGGCTGTGGAGTATAATTGTGTTTAGTTTTTTTCTTAAAATATTCCTTTTTCATTTTGTTTTTCATATAGGGAAATATTTAGGCCACTGAGTTGAAGCAAATCCTGCAGTGTGATTATCTTCTTATTGAAATGCTCTCTATTGTGACTATTTGTTTGATGTGTTTTCCTTTGACGTTGTATTTCTGATGGCTTTGGGGTAAAATAGTCATTATATGTCACCCATACTATCGCTTTTAATCTCCACAAGATTAAACATGTTTATTTAAAAACCCCTTTGATAGTGTCTTCACTAACTCAGCTATTTTATAAAATTGGAAATAATGAATTAGGGAGATGCAATTTTGATAATGCCATTTACACAACTCCTATGAGGCTAGCTAGCAAAATAACTGGAGATACATAAGTATCTGACACACATATAGTGAGAATGGGAAAAATATTGTCATTTCAGGCAGGTTATGAGGTGCTGGAAAAATAGAGTCAGCAAAAGAGCAGTTCAGTTAATGAATCACATTCTTCAGGGACTGGTGGACTCAGGAGATGGGTAATGGGATCAGGAATGGTTTCTTTAATCTCTGGGTCACTGGTTCAAATCCCATATGGATAGTAGCAATTAAAAGTCACTGCTATTTGAGGGGTCTGTGATGATCTTCTGGAAACAGAGCTGCTAAACACATGACAGTGGAATAAAACCATCCCAAACCCCAGAATATCTGTGAAACTCACATGCTTTATAGCCAGCAGAGTGCTCAGCAGAGCTGAGCAAAACTTCATAGACTTGCTGGAGTTCAATGTGGTCTGTTTGTATCTGCTGTTATATGAGTGGTACATGCCCATCATTCAAGGGACACACTGCTGAGCTTGTGACAGAGGGATCTGCATGGACAGTGACCGGTGGTGCTCCCTGAATCAGAGATTACACAGTAGTAGGAAGTCCACAATACTTGCAATTACAGCTCTTGACAGGTGCTCAGCTGGGTTTAGGCTTGCTGCCGCTGGGACACCACTCCTCCTGGTCTGGATTAGGTTGGTATGGTCATGGGCTCTGGGAGCTCTGTAATGCCCAGCCATCTTCCACCAGCTGGTAAAGACTGGGCATGCTTTGCCCTCCAGGCTTCCTAAATGTCAGGTAATCACTCAGTGTTGTGAGGATTAATGTTACCCATCACTAATCTGGAGTTTCAGAACACAAGTAGGAATTGGGAGGTCCCAGTACCCCTTCTGTTTGGGGTGTTGACTTTATCCCAAATGAGTGGTGCAGACAGGCCTTATGAGTGGAAAGGCACATACAGGGCATCACCTGCCAGTCTGTCCTGTAGCAGGCTACCAGGAAGCTACCAGGAGATGTGCTCTGGAAGGATAGCTTAAATGTAACTCTGTAAGGCTGAAGCAGACTCAGATTGTGCAGATGAACTGCTTATACCTGGCACTTGGGAATTTAAACGTATACTTTTTTGTTGTTGTTTTAAATTTCTCACTGTGATATCAGATGGGGAGACTTCTGAGAGTCCGCTGTGGGTCACACTGTCTGCTTTCAAACAAACCTGTCAGTTCATGGCAGAAGCCATGCCAGTTGGAGCAGGATAATGTTTTGCAATGTGATATACCTTTGCTTTTCTGAAATTTTGTACAGGTTGTAAATCCAAATTCTCTGGAATTTGTATAGGACTATGGAAAGAGCCTTTGTCTTTGGAAAGCTCAGAGTTCTGTGGCAGCCAAATCAAAGTCTGAAGAGATGAATCTATTTATTTCAGCTATCTGAAACTGTGATTTGGCATATAGTGAGAACAGCTGAGACAGTGGGGGAAATTTCATGCAGATCCCATCCTGATAGCTGTTAAAGCAATTCCATTTGTGCTTTGCACTTCACTGTTTCCTAGAAAATCAACTCACCAAGCTACCCAGATGAGGTGATCTCAGAAAACTGAGATCATCTTTAAAACAATAGATAATCTTATTCCCAAAGGGAAGAAAAAGAAGGAAGAAAAAATGATACTCATAAGAACAGGAAAGCAGGAATTAGGTATACTGTAGTCTAAAAATCCCTTGTCCTTGCTGCAGTCCAAACGTGAATAGCCTATCCTCATAGAAGGGAAAAGAAAAATTGGCTCATATTCAGATATGTGGAAACATGAAATTTCCAATAAGTGAGTTATCCCACTGGGCTTTGGGAAGGCTTTCTACAAATGACCTGCATAATTAAAATCTTCATTGCCTTCTTGGCCTGAGAGAAGTTAATGGCAAAATAGCTGCCAGCATCCAAAACTGTATTTAAGTGTTATTTGTAGGGAAAGACTTATGTGCCTTTTGGGCACTGAAAATTAAGATATAAATACATGTTAGCCGTTATCAACATGCATACTTGTAACAAACTGCCTTCAGGGATTAAAAGCTGGAGTCACATATTTCAGGTGTCACTGATAAGCATATGTGTTAAAAGAGCAGCCTATCATGGGAAATATACTATAAGGGATGTTTCTGTTTTTGTGTGGGAATGACCATACAAACTTACTTAATAATTATATAACTTAATGACCAAGTTATTGGACCTTTCAGTTTCATTTCTTAAAACAGCAAAACGTAGAAGTTTTAAATTATTTTCAAGTTGGGGAATCCATATGAGCCACTTTAATTTTTCCCTACTATAGTTTTGTTTTGGAAATGAAGGATTTTTATTTTCCTCTTTCTCCAGGAAATTTTAGCTTTTTCCTGCTATAAAAAAAAATTCCCTGTAAATCAAAGCTTATTTTTTGCTAAGTCCTCTTTCACAAGCATTCCTTGAGTTTGTAAAAGTTAGCAAGCATCAGTTACAGACCTTCATGCTCACTTTTTCATTTGAAAACTTGTCCCTGGGGTGAATTTTGAAAAAGTATGAGTAGAGAAAGTAAAGAAATTGGAGGACAGGGAACAGTACCTGCCTTTCTTTTTTGTATTATATTTAAGGATAGAAAACAAAAAAAGATATAACAAAAAAGAGGAAGAACAGTCCTGTAAGATGTGGATGTAGGGTGGCTGTTTTCTAGTGGATTTGAATTTGCAGTTATTTAGAGCTCTAATGGAAAATTTCCAAGTGCTGGAACATTTTCTGATGTCTTTTTCTTGTGCAAACTCTTTGACATGTAACAGGTGAACTCACATTGCTGCCTCTTCTTCCCAGAGCCGCTGACAGGGTCTCACTCTTTCTGCACAGCCACTCAAAGGCTGCTCTGAAGATAGTCAAGAAATCTGCTGAGCCTTTATTATTTCTGAGGACTCTCTATCTTTGCCAAATTTGGCTGAACTCAGGCAAGAGATTCAAATTTAAGGAAGGCAGTATTATGCTGGTATGCAGGCAACATGATTCTATAAATCATGAGTTTTCATGAGTACAATATTTTCAACTGTAAAAATGAAACTAAAATTTCCATTTGAAATGGCACTCGGCATTTTAATTTTGCTTCAGATTTATGTAAAATTTAGCTAAAATATAGTTGAATGCCATGTTATAGTGAGGTTTTTTTTAGTTTTGTTTTCTTTGGGGGGGGTAGAAACATTTTCTTCTGTTATAAAATTCAGCTTGTTCTTCTACAAAAAAGTGCCCTGCCTGAGTGGTTTTGTTGGCACCAATGAGAAGTCCATGTCTTTTGCCACAGAAATCAGCATGGCTTCCCAGACCTAGCAGAGGTTTGTAAGTATAGATGGGAAAGAACTGTTTACTACTAGTCAGCATCTAACATTGGCTGAGATACATCAAATGCCATGTGCTCTTGCCTGCTACTAAGGAAAACCTAGTTCTTTGTTCATCTATACCTTGTAAGCCATCTTTTTCAGCATGGCTCTTCCCTGTGGTGTAGACAAAACAAACATTCCCTCTGAGTTGAATCTCTGCTCCTGCCTCTCTACAGGTAAGTGCTCTTGTTCCTTTGCAGCCTCGACAGCTGCTCTGCCAAGACCTCAGAAAGTAGTGGATTTCACATGAGAATCATTCCACAGAGAAAGCCAAAGTAAAAAGCTACTTGAATTACTGGTGCTATTACCCCCTACGAAGTAGTAAATTGCTGCAGAGACAAGATGATAAGGAAATGCATCTAAGACATATGAGGCAGTCAGGTTTAAAGGTCTTGTCTCTTCCCAAAGATACAAGAAGGCCTGGCATTGGCTTCAACACCTAGAGAAAATGAATTCCTACAGACACAGATGTCAAGCAGTGGATCTTTGATAGTATCTTAGTAGTCGTCTTAGAGGCAATACATGAATCTGCTGCCTTTTGCTAATTTTCGTGTTTGCTTCAACTCTGAAGTAAAGCAGTCTGGCTTGCCTGACACATATGGCCAGGGGACTGGAGGGTCCCTAAGTGGGAGAGTCACCGCCAGCCCACTGAGATGGGCATATCTGTGCTTTCCCCCTCCCAGTGTTTGGAAAGGAGGCACAGGCCATGACACCCAACAGGGCCAGAAACCAGACAAATCAAGCCTGAGGATAACACAGAAAAGAGAGAAGATGCAGATCCAGAGTAAGTAGCCTTTGCTGTTCTAGGTATGTATGGCTAACCTATGAGTGTTAGAAAAGACACTGAGTGATGAAAAATAATTATCCATTAAAAGTGGTTTCATGTAAATCAGAGTATTTTGCAGAAGTTCAATTTTTGACTTTTTATAGGGAAAATTCAAAATAAAATGCTGGAAAATTTAGTTTTGATGAGATGTTTAAAGTGTTGTAAATGATTGCTATACATTATCTGTCTGTGATGTTAAGCATGTTAAAGATGTGCTATTACAGCACTGATTGTTGTATAAAATCGAAATTAAATGATTCAGAGCAAACTATTTTTAAATGGTCCTTTACTGATACTATTTTAAGAATTGGAAATTGGAGAAAATGGTTATTTTAGGCATAGTTTTTATTCTAACTGGGGACTACAATTATCGAAACGTACAATAGCCTGCGAACAAAAATTTCAGTTCCCAGCTGGCTCTGTCCACTGGTTTACTGACTTATTTTGGATACCGCTGAAATGATCCATGGCAAAGGCAGTAGATAGCTCCAGGAATTTGTGCAGGCTATAGAGTCAGTTGTGGGCTGCTGGTTCAAATCCAGAAGGCCTGCATGGGAACACAAAAAAGTTGATAGCATGACTTCATCTGTGTGGTATGAGTTTACCTCCCTGGGTGTAGGTGACAGCAACAGAAATAGCATTAATTAGTCCACTTTGGCATCTCAGCCAAGGTCTGACATGGCAAAGCAGGGAAGCCTACTGTGCTGCAGGCTGATCTGGGCTTGCACCGTGGGTAAAAAAATAGCTTCTACTTCCCAGGTCCAATCTAGTTTTTATTAGCACTGTTGCTATGATGCCAAAGGAAATCTAAGATTTCTGCTTAATAACTACCAAGAATAATAAGAAAGCATCAGACTTGGTAATTGGTTAGAGATAGTACCCTGGGAAGACAGGGACAAAAGGCAGTGAACTGTAACCGGCCACACAATCCAAGGTAACAAGCAGTCAGCAGTGGATTAGCAGCCAAGGCAACATTTGTAATTTAACTATAGCATTCACAATAATTTAACCACATTATCCAGAACACAAAGCTAATGGTGATATAGTGAATGAAGCCAGAATAAGGTAATATTCCAAAAGGTTGTAAGTGCCAGCACATAAAAGAATCTTCATGGAAGAGGATAATGTTCAATTCTTTTGTTCTTGCTTTCTTGTTTCCTGAAGAACATAAAAGGCAAGTGTTTAGTTTTTGGAAGTTGCTATTTGTTAGCCATGAAGGAAAGATGGGTTTCTTCAGAAGTTCCTGTTGGCAGCTTACAGTGTGTGACAGGCCGACACATTTTGCTGTCTTTGAAAACTGAATAACAAATAGTTTTGCTATATACAAGTCAGAAGTGATGGAAGGGATCTGAGCTACACAGCACCCTCCCAAAATATACATACTGTTCTCTGCATGTGCAGCTTGCAAACTCTGCCTTCATCTAAGTTAACATTAGGTTGTAAATCATCCTAATTCATGGAGGTTGAAAAAAAAAGTATGAAGTGAGAACATAGGAATGCTATTGCTCAGAACAGGGTCTCAAAATTTATTTTATCGCTTGCCTACACGCAGCATTGTACCACTGTGATTAAAATGGTAAGACCTCTCTCTAAGGATTACACCCACTACTTTATTGCTGAAGATGCTAGTTTGAATAAAATCCACAATCGTAGTGTGTTGCATTCTCTCACTCTGGGAAGTCAAATCCTTTTCTAGAAGTGACAATGTAAAATGGGTGCTGCTTTTACAGCAGGGGTGCTTTGTGTATGTATTCATAGGCAGAGCTTTTACTTCACTGACAAAAAAAAAAAAGGATTTTTGCAATCCTTTACTTGCACTAGCATTGAGAAGTCCATAGAGTTAGGAAAAGATGAATTAGATTCAATTGTGACTCGTGTCCTGTTTGAACCACTACTGCAAACTCCTATTGCAGCAACAAATTCTGTTAATTGTGTTGTGCAAACTAGCTACACAGCCTGAAATGAAGGAAAATTTAAACTCCTGAGGAAAACACGTATTTATGAATACATAGTGTGTGCTGCTCTCAACTTCAAATTGCAGTGGCCCACCAAATCAACTCCGGCATAGTTTTGGAGCCCTGTGAATTCCTTCTGACCTGGAAACTATACAGATCCTAAGTGCTCACCAGCTGCTGGGGGTATTTTGGTTAGCCTTTAGCTAACTCTAAACACACACTGAAGAGAATGATTTCTACTTCTATTGACAGCATCTCTTTGAAGGAACTATATTTATGAAGCCCAGTGGATTCATTAGGGTAGCAGTGGGGATGGAACTGTAATGCATAGTTTTTGCTCAGTTTAAATGCAAAAACTATGTCAAGTCAGATTTCCTTTGTGGGAAGCACATGAGAAATGATCCAGAGAGTCTGGATCCTAATGTTCCTACATCCTTAAGTACATTATGACTGCTGTTGCTAAACTTATATTGCTCATGCCAGGCAGAAGACTAGCCCAAATTATCCGATCTAAAGGATGACAAAAAGTCAACCCTACAGAGGGACTAAAAGGCTAGATTTGTCTTTGTTCCACAAAAATGCAGCATGAACTGCACCACTCATCACTTTTGGGTTGGAAGCCTCATCTACATAACAATGCAGCACTGTCATCAATAACAGGTCTCCAGAGCACCTTTTCTGAGTTAACAAAAATATTAGGCATGCTATTAATTCCATCCATTGCACACATTGGCATGAGAAATGGGTACTGGTACACCTTCCTTTCTGAGTTATTTTATATTATGTTCCAGTTCATATATAAGTGAAACTTACGAGCATTTCCTGCCTTCAGCTCCTATCTTTGTGTTGGTGGTCTTTAGGTCAGATCCGACAAAAAGCTGAATAACCATATTCACAGCAAGAACAAAAGCCTGGCTGAGCCCATTGTTTCAAAGTATGAAATTTAGTTAATGAGTACGCAGTGAGCTTTGTGAAACATATATGCAAGGAACATTCTTGTCAGGAGGTGTGGGTGCTCCCTTACACATCTAGCAGTGCTGTTTGAGCCTCCAGCTGACAATTGGGTGCTCCTTCCTCCCCTTCATTGCTGGGCTGAATTTGGTACTAGGAGCTATGCAGGTAAGTGGGGAGGAGTCCACAGGGGACCCCGCTGTCTCTGCCCAGTCAGCGCAGGCCAAAGCCTCTATTACAGAATTAAACTGACAAACAGTGAGTTCATTTGGGTTTTTTTAACTGAAAGGAAAAGAAAGCCACAGAAAAAGTGGCTATGATTGCTTTAAATCCTGTCTCCTTAATCTCCTACTGGGCCTGTGGTAGTGACACTGCTCAGTCACACTATACTTTTCACGTCCTATTCTTCATATTTTCTCCTCATTAACTATGACCTTCCTATGGATGTGTTTGGATGATTTTTTCCCTCCCATTGCTGTTTTTCTTATCCTCTCTTTTTCCTACTTATCTTTGAGGAGCAGAAACAAGTCTTGGCTTGATACTGAGAAAAACAGATACAAAGAAATGCCTTCTACATCTCTCTCTGAGGACCTCATGTCACAGCCAGCAGAGGAATTGGTGCTAAATTGCCATAACAGAATATCCTGAGGCATAAGCTCCATCCAGCCTCAATAGATATTGATAGGCAAAGACATGCAACAGAAAAGTCACTGAGGAAAACTGCAGAACTGATGTTGGCAGGTGACGAGGGAGACCTAATTCCTTTAGATCAGTACACAGCCATGTGCTAAAAGGCTCAGTATTTGGATTATGGAGAAAATAAAGATTCTTGCCAAGGTCCCATGATTGTTTCAGACAAATTTGATTAGTCAGAAAGACTAATTTTGACGATTCATAGAATCACAGAATGGTTTGGGTTGAAAGGGACCTTAAAGCTCACCTAGTTCCACCTCCTCTGCCATGGTCAGGGACACCTTCCACTAGGTTCAACTTCAGGCTGCTCAAAGCCCCATTTAACCTAGCCTTGAACACTGCCAGGGATGGGGCAGCCACAGCTTCTCTGGGCAAGCTGTGTCAGTGTCTCACCACCCTCACAGTGAAGAATTTCTTCTTAATATCTAATATAAATCTATCCTCTTTCAGTTTAAAGCCATTTCCCCTTGTCCTACTACTACATGTCCTTGCAAAAAGTCCTTCTCCAGATTTCCTGTAAGCCCCTTTAGGTATTGAAAGGCTGCTCTAAGGTCTCCCCTGAGCCTTCTCATCTCTAGTCTGAACAAGCCTAACTCTCTCAGCCTGTCTTCATAAGAGAGATGCTCTATCCCTCTCACCCTCTTTGTGGCCCTCCTCTGGACTCACTCCAACAGGTCCACGTCCTTATGTTGGGGGCCCCAAAGCTGAACAGAGTGCTCCATGTGAGGTCTCACAACAGTGTAGTAAAGGGGAAGAATCACTTCCCTTGACCTGCTGGTCACACTCCTTTTGATGTAGCCCAGCGTACGGTTGGTTTTCTGGACTACAAGCACACACTGCCAGCTCATGTTGAGCTTTTTTATCGTCCAATAGCTCCAAGTTCTTCTCCTCAGAAAGGTTATTTTCTGAAAACAAGAGCCTTCTTTGTTGTCCTTTTGATACATGTGATTTTGTCTTGCATATCCTTTCCTAACAAATCAAGTAATGTTGTTCTGGAATGTCAGAGCTTCTCTGGGTTTCAACCATACTACAGCACATCCACCTCTGCGATGAATCTCAGTGATCAAAATACTGATGCTATCAATGATTGCATTACAATTAAGTTAAAATATATTTACCGATTGTACAAGACCTTAATGAGTTTTAAAAATTCCGTAAAACAATTTAGGATTCTTATAAGAAACCTAGTACAAAAAGAAAATTTTACTTATACAAAACATGTCAGGATACCTTGGATGGAAGAACCATATTCAGACCACTTACAGTGGTGCAAAGAGTGGATTTAGGACTTGGGAGTGTGCTGTGCAAGTTAAACTGCATATTAGCTAGTGCCAGCTGCACCAGAGGCTGTCTTCTGGTATGTTTAGTGGGCAGGGTACAGCATTACTCTTATATCTACTGCCATCCTTTGCCTGTCCATGCAGTATGTAGTGATATATATATTCATATTGCATGAAGTCTATTTAGCAGTGAAGCTACTTTTTCTGGCAGTGTTATAGCTTGAAGACTTAGGCTAGGGAAAAGGAGAAAAACAAAACAAAACAACAAAAAGAACAGGCAATTTTCCCCAGATAAAGAAACAGCAGTCTTTAGCACTTTAAAATGTCTGTTTTAGAGGTGGTGCTCCTACAGATCTCCTTTTATTTATTTTTTTTCTTAGCTTTTAATTACTTTTCTCTTAACATCTCCACATGACAAGATATCATTCTTTCCAACCCCAGGGGAATGGCTGAAGCTCATGTTTGACTATCCTAGTGTTTTTCTGACAGCTGTACTGCTAAATTTGACTTTTCTCTTTTTTTCCTCTGGAGCTCTTGGGACTGGCTAATAGAAGATTTCTGCTATGAAGCCCATCTACAACATGGCAGCGACATTGTTTCTCTCTGGCAAATGAATTATTGCTTGTAACAGGTGAAGATGAATTGGTGCAGACAATAGGAAGCTGTGTGTATAGTAGTAATTCCACCAGCATTGGTGGTCTTATCTCAGGGGATCTCTCTCAGTAATGTATGCAACAGGAGGACATGAAGATGGTCTCTGGAAAGGTGGTATGCAAGAAAACTTCTGAGCTTGTGCCAGACCCTGATGAAATCAAAGTGCCCAAGTGTCCCATCACTGTTCTTTCTTGTTAGCTCTTGGAGCACAAGAAGACAGCAGTCCTACTGAGAGCCTCTAGGGGCTACTGCAGTTCAATAAATAACAAATACAATGCAAAACTGCTTTGAGTCTGAAATAGGCTCTGTTAATCTCTGGTGTACTATCTTGGACTTCAGAGGAGTTACATGCAATGGAATTTTGCCCACTGAGCCCTTGCTCTCTGCTCTCAGGATAAAGGATGGCAGTGAGTACAGACTATTCTCTTAGGACAGTGTTTTGTCTTGTTTTTCTGGGGGAGAAATTAGTCTTTCAGTACTCTTTCTTACTTTGTTCCCTGCTTTCTGATAATATTATAAAAATAACATCTTTATCACATGCTGGGTTCTGCAGAGAGCACACCAACTTTGTGTACGTAACATTTTTTTCACTCTTTGTTAATGCCTTCATGAAATTTGTTTTTATTTGAGTTAATAAGAATCAATGTTTTACGGATTTATTCTTTCAAGATACCATATTCTCTTGATAATTCTCTCCCATCACATGGGGTTCAGTTCACTGTGAAGTGTATGGAGTATATGAGACACAGCGAGAGAGTGTGCATGTGAAAGAAGGGGTGATCTTGAGCGCAGACTGTTTAAGAAAATCCTGTCTACATGATATCAAAGGAAATTTCAATCCAAGAAGGTTTCATTGTGTCAATAGACGTAGCACAAGGGCTGCTTGTTGTTTCACAAGCAATGAATCTTCTCCAGCCTATAAATAATGTAAAGACAAGTCTCAGGGTTTTTAAAGTTTCTGCTAGCTTGAGGCTACCTACCCAGCATGCCTCCTTGTTTACAACTTCCAGTACAAACATACATTGTGTTTGTTTTCAGGCAAAACATCAGCTTTCCTGACTTTTGCAATTAACCTCTGGTACGTACTAGCATCATCCTTTTAAGCTGCTTTTATGTGCAGAAATGTTCAGCAAAGTGATGGGTGAAATGATGGGTTAAGTAAAGGTGCTACCGCACCTCACAAAGATCTGGGGATATTAGCGGGGACTACACAAAGGAATGGACTTGTGAAGTTCAGCTTTTTGTTCAAAGGTTGCAGGTATGCTGTCACCCTTGGCGTGTGGAGGCTGGAACTCCCAACATCTCCAGGAGTGCAGGAGAGTGCCCTAACTACTCAAACCCTCCTGGCATTTCTTTTTTCTCTCATCCCATGATTTCAGTATTCTTTTTCCTGTGCGGAGGCAGTAAGCCCAGTGGAGAGAGTGTCTGCTTGGGCTAGCTTGTCTCGCCAAAGTTAGGACCACTTCCACAATGTAGAGGAGACATGTCCTTGAACCCTGGCAGGCTGCAGAGGGTTCAGACTCTATGCCTACCAGTTCCTAACCAGCAAGCTCTCATAGGAAATACAGGTATATGTCCCTTCTGTGTGGCGTCTGATCCTGTCCCTGCAGCTGAGGGACAAGTATTGTCTGGGACAAGTATTTGTCTGCATAGTTTTTAGATTCTTATTGGATTAGAAATGCTCAGACAGAGGGTGCTTTTATGTGGTCAGGAAAACAGAACTGTGGGCATTTCTAGAGCTTACAGAAAGGAAAACAAAATCCAAGGCAAGAATGGAGTGTGGCAGCAAGGCAGATTTGAATAGCAATTCTGGAGTTAAGTGCTTATGATTCATTTTCTTCCAATTTCAGGGATTTTCACTCTGTTGGAATTCTCCAGAAACACATTGTTTCAAAATGGCAGGAGATAGGGCAAAACAAAATCTGGGTCGAAGACAATTTAGTCTATGGCTCTGTGTACTGCACTCTACACGAAGAAGTTATAACAATGAAAGGCATCTGTCCAGAACCTGAGTCTTGGCTACTTCCAAATGCCCTCAGCATTTCACCTTTGTTGTTAGCCCATTGGTTTTCTTGGAAGCTTTTTTAAAATAAACCAGAGTTTTTTTGAAAGTGAGTGCATTTATTTAAAAGTGCATTTTGGGGCTCAGGAAGGAAAAAAAGTTTCACTCCAATATAACATAAGAAACTGAGACTAAAATGAAGTATGGTCCACACCAAAGAGCTGGATTGAGTTGGGATCAGTTGAGCAAGTCATAACCATTTATGAGCTTTTTGATGCTGTATGGGAAAGAGCATCCACTCAGATCTTACCAGTTCTCTGAATCTTGGCTGACAAGTGTCCACATCTTGAAAACGGCACAATGATCTGCTCAGACAAATTCAGGTACTGGCCAAGGAGGGCAAAATCCCCTCTCCTCTGCCTCGTGCTGATTCACTCAAGACAGAAAGGGAGTAGTTTCTTTGACAAATAATGTCTATTGCCATTGTGCCTGTGATACCCATCTTTCAGCCTGGCAGTCGCACAATCATGAAGTGTACCCACAAAATGTAAGCAAGAAAAAAAATGGAACTGTTTGAATTTAAGAAAGCAGCAAAGGGAAGGGGAAGGTCACTAAGTCAGCTCTTCTTGCTGTTGGTCCCCCAGAAGGTGATCTATTCTCAGGCTTTTGTTAGCTCTTGAAGGTATTCCAGGTGCACGTCTAATCTCCAGGCCTTACCATATCCAGCTGAGGTATTGCTTCCTTGCTGCCCAAGTCAGGTTTTGTGTTCTACAACTGCTCTACAGGAATATCATTATAAATCCATAGCTGAAAGAGCCTGTGCATCTTAAGTGCTCTTTCATTTTCTACCTCTGAATATTCTGCCAGCAGAGATTTAGAACACTGGGTCTGTAAATGCTTTCATGTCAAGACTAAAGGCAACACTTGTTTAATTCATTCTTTGACCCAACAGTAGCTTATCTCAGGTTATCACTTGTTAAGCCCTAGAATGTTTTAAACATGAAGGGGGCTGCTGTGTACTGTATTTTACTTGTACAAATTTGGCAGTAGTGATTCATAAACATCAAAACCTTTTCCTTTCTGCGCTGCAAATTTTGCTTTATTTTAGCTCCATTCACAGGATGTGTAACCTAGTCTAGGAAAAAAAAAAAAGAAAAGGAAGCTGCATTTATCCTCTATGCAATTTGTAATTATTTATTGTAAGTCACAAGAGCTTTCAGGTTTTTATATATATACGCTTGTGTGCATGTATTTATATATGCAGTTGTGTATATAAAAGAGAGGGTTTGTGTGTATATAAATATACATGTATATTGTTTGAGTGCATACGTATTTGTAAAGATATATATGCACACACTTAAACACAATTGTAACAATGATGAATGCTGTGGTGTAAATGGAGGACTGGATTTATAAATCAATATTTTGCAAATATATTGCACCCTGATTAGAATATCAATTAAACTTTGCTGTACATCATTCATCGCCAGTGAAAAACTAAAATAATTTGCACTACTCTGTGTAAATCCATCAGTTCTGCCAGCATAGAATTTATCCCTGAGTTGTCAAAAAGCTACAATTGTATTTAAAGTCAGCATATGACAGTGACACCCAGAACTGAGGTCAAGAGAATCATTCTGGATTTGCATTACTTAAGTATTAGAAACTCAAAAGTTTTGTATTGTGAAGAGTCACAAGACTAACTTAGTAGCAGCCTGTGGATTTACTCCCAACAATGATGCTGTCTACACCATAATAACTTTTAACCTAAATACCCTATTCTTCTGTGTAGCCTTATTCCTCCCTCCCTGAATGTCATGACAAGACTTGAGTACTTGACACCTCTTGCTGCCTCTGAAAAAAAAATAAAAATAAAAAAAAAGAAAAAACTCAACATATTTGGGTGGGAGTGGAGAGGTAGAGAGGGAGCCACAGCATCTCGCTGTAAGTTCCCCAGTCCAGACACACAGGGTACCAAGGACTGCAACGCAGACAGAGCAGCTCTGTCTTGGGCAGAGGGGATGGTGCTATTTCAAATAGTTACATCTCAACATCCATCTCATCTTCTAGTCACCTGCTGTGACATCTGCACCAAAATATTTAATAAGCATATACCAGAATGAAACTGCTTACCTCCGTGTCTATTCAGGGAACATACCTCCTGTTGCTTGGTAATACCAGCTTCAAAAAATGTATGCTGCAGTCCTTAGATTACCTATGACCCAGTGATGCAGAAGTCCTTGACTGCTAAGGGCTGAGCTGTGACACAGAAGCTCACCCAACTCTTGTAACCCAGTAACCAATCAGTTAGGACATAGGCACTGACAGCAGCAGACCTCTGTCAGATGCCTTGGCCCCGAGTGATTTTTCAACGTGCTATGTTAACAGGAGTAATGTGAAGAAAATACCCTGAGTGAAAGAATAGGACAGCTAAAGCTAAAGTTCCATCAGGAAGGAGATGCTTTAGAAATGTGGGAGACAGCTAGACAAGGTTTAAATGATCTGCTTTGTAAGAGCGAGTAACAGTTGCCAGCAGCAAGGGGGATACTAAGAAGAGCGCTGTTTTGACCTGCTTGCTTTGAAATACTATATGGTTTTAATAGTTTTCAGTTAGTGCAGACAGCAAAGCCTAGCTATGAAGAGGCAATATAGAACTGCAGAGAGAATGTGCCATGTGCAGAATAAACCCTGACAACATATTTTTTTTTAGCGAGGACTAAGAAAAGGGTAACAGTGGAATATACACAACTGCAATTTTCTGAGGCTGGTGATATGGCTTTAAAGTTCTGGTGGCTGGGTTTCTTGTGAGGGATTTGGTTGTGACTGGGGTTCAGGAAGAAAACCCAGGGTGAGCTAGAACAGTGTGCTGAAGTGACCAGGAACAAGCCCTGACTCATAAAACTGACAGAAGTTGTTACCTACAGTGGGATTTATCTCCACTAGTCATAGTTATCAAAAAGTTAGATGCCTGGTCTACACTAATCTCTCAGGCTCCTGAACAAAAGGCACAAAAGGCAGCTCCAGAGGTTAATGAATCCCAGCTATTTGGAAGACAGCTTAAATCAGAAGGATCTGCCCTCCCAAAGGAGCAAAAAACAAATACCATGAATGATACCTCCTTACTTTTTCCACAGCTGCAGCAATGTGAAAAGAATCCCTCTTATGACCCAGGCTGATGCTCATGAGAAAAACACAATGCTCTCACACAACAGACATGCTGGAACTGTCAAAATGCCCTGCTATGTATGTGTGGCTGGGGGAGGAGGGAAACAAAACTGCTTGTGTTTTCTAAAATACAATAACACCAACCTTGGTGGAAGGTGGAGACAGACAAGGGTAAGCATTTCTGCTAATATTTAATCATGTGCCATGAAAGATAAAGGGTTTTAAACACTGAATTATGCGAGCAAAACACCAAGCCACAGACAAGTTGGATTGGGGTCACTGATGCACCTGAAACCAGAAAACTTTTCAATTTCTGTCATTTTAGTTTCCTTTTGAGTTCAGAGGGGCTTCTATTTAAATATGCTGCTATAACCCGTAACAGAGGAAAATCATAGCTCACGCTGAAAAACAAAATGATACTTTCTTTTTTCTATTTTTAAAGTACATGTGTTTTTAATAAGGATAAACAGTTAGAAAGCCCTAAGGCCAGATAAAGCTAGTATTTTTTGATTCAATGCATGGAATTGTCCTAAATAAATAAATAAATAAATAAATAAATAAATCAACCGTCGATCCTCTGCATATCGTTGTACTGACGTTGAACCCGTGAAAAGGGTAAGTATGTAATGCAGTACGCTCTGCTAGCACTGAGGCAATGATTTACTTTTTAGAGTGTGGGCATGAGAAATTGTTTCAGTCATATATTTTGAATATCTATTTGAAGCTATCACTTTGCAGCAAGTAAAATGTGTTTTATCCTTGCTAAGTCTGCAATCAAGTCTAGCTCTGTGGTTTATCTGGCTAATGTTCTCATTGTTTCAACTTTCTTGCTTGGCAGGGGATCAGTCTCTTCTTCCTGCTCATGTTGAGCAGGCAGACTTGCAGATTTCAGTCCTGCTGGCATTTGTTTCTGAAAGAAATGGGCTATAGTGTACCTTTTGGCATGACAAGGAGATAGTGAATCTGGGAGCCTTTCCCTCAGCCAGTGTAGGACCTCAGAGAGGGGCTGATAGTCTTTTACCATCAAGATCATTACAAACAGTGTGACTCCTTAGCAAAATGCTTGAAGCACATGCAGAGAACTAAATTAGCCGTAGCAAGAACAACAAACCCCAGCCTATAAACCCTTAGGAAAAATACCCTGATAAAAGCTATGGGATTAAATAACTTGAACTTGAATGGAATTGTCAGGGTTGTTTTTTTTTCTGTTTCCTTGCAGGTCATACAAGAAGGAAAAACAGTGCCGCACCTTTGATGTAGTTTAAATAAATATTCAAAGTCCCTTCCATTACTGCCTGATTAATTAATGTGGATGCATATAAAATGAGGAACAATTGAATGACTTTCTGGGCTTCCTTGGGGGATTGGACTTTGGCAGTAGCTGCACTGTATTGTATGTAATACAACTTTGAAAAGAGAGGAAAGTAGAAAGCTGAGAATAATAGGTGATGGAAGCCTCCCAGATTCACTGTGTTGCTGGCTGTCTATGTGGGAGAGTCTACATTAGCACTGCAACCTTCAGGTGCTGTGATTTGACAATTACTGTTTTGGAAATGGTACTTCCTTGTTCTTTGTGCCCTGAGGGAAGTCTCTGTCCATTACCCTCCTGCCTGCTTGAGTGAATCCTTTTTAGTAAAATAAACCTGGCCATGAGAAACAGAGAATATATTCAAGCCAAAACACCCATGAAGAGACTTGTGTTCATAGTGAGAGTCTAATTCCAGGGATCTTACCTAACCTACTTACACTTTGATCCAGTGGTTACTCCATTGGTGACCAGCTTTTTTCAGAGGTATGCCACAATCCTTCTTGCGAGTACCCACTATATTTCAGAAACACCCTTTCCCCCAGGAAAACAGGCATGAGTTTGTGGTGGCTATTTTTAAGCTGTTACAATTGATTAAAATATTTCTGACTGTGTTGGTGAAGAACATCAAGGAGTCTATATAGATTAGTCATATTATTCTCTCACTTTGCAGATGTCCCAGAAAGCTTTTCATATGGAAGAAGGTATACACCTCGTCTCACTCCATCTCTCAAACTACCACCTGGACAACCATGTAATCTTCACCATGACACAGCAGTATGGTTCTATTTCTCTGGGTTTTTTCCTCACCCAGTAGCTCAAAGTTGCCATTGTAGTCATAGATTCACCTGACTCTGTGGTTTCAAGGATGGTGGTGTGTGTCAGTGGACTCTATAGCCTGCCAGTTTTCTAAGAATTGTATCATCATATGCTGTGTGGACCTGTTCTCTCCGTCTCAGAGAATCAATTAGCAATGACTTTAGCACCATGTGGATATGCAGTCATCTCCTGTGATGCCACCATCCTTCAGTGAACTTGAAATGTGGCCTTACCAATAGTATAACTTTGCTAAAACTTAAAAAAGTTTGGACAATGATTGAAATATTTCATGCCCTGGTCAAGACAGCTGAAAGACTGAGGACTGCTGGATGAGAGAGTAATCCTCTGGTAATCAGAACATGGATGTGAAAAGTTCAGCCATCTTTCTGTGTTTCAGGTTCCTGGTATGCATTTTATAATTTCTAGCAGCAGACAGCTGCTTTAGGCAGCATGTATGGGAATGCTTATGCTTCCTCTGCTTCTATTCCCATTGATAGGGTAGTCTCTGCTATTGACTCTTGACTTTCATATTTCTTGTTTGGAGGATGCAGCCCACATCAATTAAAGCTTGTGAATGACAGGGACATCTGCAAAGGAAACAGGATCCTTCTGTTCTGCTATTACTGGTTAAAAAAGACTCTCTTCCTGATTGTTATTCCATTGGTCTACATCTTTCTGAGTTGACAAGCAGTTATATTTATTGTCTGTTGCTTTCTTCTGTGACTCAGCAGCAAGCAGGCTGAGATTCACAAACGGAAGTAAAATGACATCAGCAGTTGTCAAATAGAAAAAGACAAAGCTGACAAAGGCATTTTGCTTTAATGCTTCAAAGCAGATATTGCAAATAACAGAGTATGGACACACACATGGGAATATTCAACACGGAATTTTTAAACAGTTGAGAGCATCCACATCTTGGAGAAAGAAAAGTCACACTGTCTTCCTCAACAGCAACTTGCATTTTAAGTTCAGCTGATCAAAGATGAGCACAGCAGTAGCTGCAGGCATCTACATCAGCTCCACCAGTGAGACCTCACATCAGGATGGAGCTGACAGGTGAAGATCTCAACAGCACATGGGAACGGTACATGCCCTTCCAGCCATGCTAGGCACTTCTCTGCTGTTACAGCTAGTTTCTGCATCACCAGTACTGGGGTAGCAGGAATGGATAAAGGCAGGGTAGTCATGGATCTGTTGCTACTCTGTGTATCATCACCAAGCTCCTACCAACGACCAAGTCACCCAGGTTGACCATATGCATGCTTGCCCACCGATGTTAAGCTAAGGGAAGATCATATGCAAGCCTTTTTTTGGAGCAGCACCAAAAGCACTGCTGAACATCCTGCCCTGCAAAACACTTGGCACAATCTAAACAATCCAGTAAACTCTTTATCAGCGTCTGACAATTTCTTTATCTTTCCCGTTTTCTATGTGACTCAAGAGAATCCAGAGGCTAATTCTTCCTGTAGATCAACCTTCTACTATAATTTGGTGCCCTGTTTGGCATTTCCCTACCTGACCAGCTCATCAATTATTTTACCTTGTACAGGAGGATGTCTAAATGAGAAACACTCAGATAAGAAGTGATCAGAGTTTGTTCCTTAGTATCCAAACCAAAACTTTTTCTGAGGCTCAGTGGATGTTACCCAGCTTTAAAAGAGAGGTGCTCACATATTTATGTCTTTTCCTTCCACAACAGCTCTAACCCAAAAGAAAAAGGGCCTGAAACACAGCAAGAAAATATTTTTTTTTGCTATGGGCTTATATTCCTTCACCTCTGCTTCTCATTCTGCCTCTCCTAGATTCGCTTGATCAAGAGTCTCTTGATATTTCTGTTCTGAAAGCCATCTCAACAAGTTTCAAACATATCAAATCATTCATAACTTTTCCCTTTGAGAAATGTGTTGAGTTCCTTTTGCATGTTTATTTCTGATCCTCTTTGCAGATATGTTTAAGAGCTTCTCTATATTAACATCCCTAGTCTTCACCTTGCTTCAGAAGATTCCCTTTTCCTTTCAAAACTAAACTCCAGATTTTTTTTTTTTTTTTTTTGATCTCAGGAGCGAAAGCAACTTTTTACCTCTGTTTTTTGAATAGCTGGGAGGAAACATTGTCAGTTATGAAGCTTCCAGTTCACAATATTTTCTGCTTGAGAAGAAATTTAAGCACAGCCAAAGCATGTATTTTTCACCTTAGATAATATACCAGTTCTCTAAAGGCAAGAGGCTCAACAGGCAAATTGACATGGATTTTACTGAAATCAGCTATCTAAGTTATACCAGATGAGACTTTGCTTGGAGAAATCAAAAGCAAGCCTCTCTGGAAAGTAAGTACAGTCACCAGTTGACTTTAAATTACTTTTCTTGTCAGAGCGCACTTCCTGCTTGAGGATGTCAAGACTACTTTCCTGAATCTTTTCTGTACTTTTTTTGTGGTTCTTTTTGTGCTATTTGTGTTTAAAGTTCCCTTTGCCCAACATATTCGTTTCTTTTGCACCTTGGCTTTCAGACTGGGTGCTGAGCTGATCTCTATATGAAAGCTGGCTGACATATCCTACAGCTGTCACTGAGCAAGACTGAATGGCCTCTTTTTCTGTTCAATTGTTTTTTCATACCCTAGTGACTCTCCTCGTCATATTTGGAGGGTCCTCTAGAACCACTTGACTTCTTACACAAAATAGCTGCTGCAGTTGAGTAGGCTCAAAGGATCCATGCCCATTTGTCTTCCATGTTGCTCTTCACTCATGTTTTCTTCTTCCCTACCCCTTCAACAGTGACTGAGGTGGAGAGGATTGCAAGACCCAACAAATAAACTGGTGATTCCTTGACTTCATTGCTTCTTCCATAATGAACAGTATTCTTCTCCTGGGTAGGTGGAAAGGTGTGCATCAGCACTGCTGCCTGGCCAGAGCTTGTTGGGAAATGTAGTTTGGCTGAGGGGCAAAGTCCCCAACAAAGAACAGGAAGAGGATGGACTTGAGACCTCTGGAGTCAAGCTGTGATGCCCCTTCAGAACTGAAGTATTTTAACTAGTTTCTTGGTTTGCCTGCTCAGGTTTTCAATGAAAACTTGAAATGTTCTGTGGAAAGCAGAACCATTTCAGGAATAATTCACTGCCACTGAAAGATCCATTCTCTACTGCAAACAGTTTGATGTAGAACTTTTCTGTTGGTTCCAATTAGGACAAAAGTAGAGTGCTCTCTGTGCTATCCTGGGGGCTCAAAAGGCAACCTAGCTGTTGTCCTGTATCTTTGGTAGCAATACATGTTTGATCAGCTTGTGTACTCAAGATACAGGCTTGATAAAAGGGAAACAAGGCCTAGTTTGCTGAAAGTCCCCTTGAATTCTCCTCAGAAATTATATGACTTGCCATTCTTTAGGCCAGCGATAAAGCTTTTTCTTCATACCCATTTCTTCCTTGCATGTTTATGTTGAGCAAACCCTTATGTTAGTTCACTCATTTGACTGAAGGTTTTCCAATTCTGGCATTGCACTAGGCACATCACCTGCTTAAGTGATATTTTTCACAGAGATAGAATCATAGAATGGTTGGGATTGGAAAGGACCTTAACGGATTAAAGTATCCAAATACCTTTAAGTTGGTGTGTCTCTAAACAAAACGCTGTAATAATTAATGGGGAGATATACTGTAAAAATAATTATCCCAGTTTTGGTGTAAGAGAGAATATTGAGACTACCAGTTGCTGCATGAAGAGCTTCAGTTGACAGGTCACCACAAGCGACCATAGCTGGTTTGGGAAGCTCTGAGTGTGTATTAATCTCTGTTTCAGCAGAATATGTGCCTTTCAGTCCTCAAGACTTTCTGAGTCAGCAGGTGCCTTATCCATGCTTGTCTTCCCAGTTTTCTGCCTGATTCCTGGTATACGGGCAACATTTGGTGGCACATAAGCCTTGTGGCTGCTTTCATCATTTTGTCAAAGGGAGAGAAATAATGAAAGAGCTGCTGCAAGAAAACAAACGGCCAAATAGCTGTTGAGGAAGGAGGTTCCAACTCGCTGGAGTTCAGCTTATTACAGGCCATATGCCTGAGTGGCTCCCCTCACCAAGTGCTGCACCCAGCTATGGAAACAAGTGTGAAAACGCCTGTGGTTCATCAGGCCTGATTTGCTATAAATATGTGCAACTGCTGGGAGAACAATAAGAAGCTGAAGTGGCTGTGGGGTTAACAGGAGAGAATCCATTAGAAATACAACGTTAATAAACACATTTCCCAAATATTTATGTAAAGATGTTAACAGGCAATAATAATTTGTTTTCCAAGCTCACAGCAGATGTTTTTCTTTTAGTACGCAGGCTATATTCATAAATGATGCAGCTTACTTAAGTAGAGAAACAAATTGATACACTCTTCTTCTTTATTTTTAAATATCATGGGGTTGAATTAATAGTTAGCCTTGACAGATATCAGTAGCTCATGCCATTTCCAGCTATACCCAATGTTTGCAGGGTTTGCAGTGTAAATGAGGGACTAAACACATGACTCAGCTCCTGAATGATGGATGTGTTAAAGAGACTGAATGACAGAGCTGGCAGAATAAGGAGAACAGCAAGTGTGGAAGAAATCTGTTTCTAACCTGGCATTTCAATTATCTTTACTTGGCAGAGCTCCTCCTAAGAGCACTGAAGGCTCAGGCCCCAGCCAACCATTCCATTTGGATGTTACGAAATCTTAATTATCTATCAAAGGCAAGTGACCATCAGCACCAAGAGCTTGTTCTACAGCTGCCATATTCCCCATCCTCTATACAGAACACTTTTTTTCTCATAGTGCTTAGCTGCTGAATGACTTATTCTGGAAGACATCTTCCTAGTAACATGGCTTTGCTAATTCAGAAAAAGTATTCTAATCCAATCCAATAAGACATGTACATTTAGTTATTCTGGAGGAGGTATTCCATTTTAAATTAATACCACGTCCTTAATTTATAAGGGTTTCCATAAAGAATCTGGTGCGGCTTTTCTCACCCCTTCTGTATTTCTGTGGCCAGGTTGTACAGCTCTGTGCCTTTTTTCTCCTTTAGACTGGGGCTATGTCACGTGTCTAGTAGCTCTTTACACACATAATTCACAGCACTATCTATAATTCAGTACAACTGTATCAGTCCACCCACATTTCGTAAAAGATGATGACAAGCTCTGTTTCATTTAATTTATACTCCCCCTCTATGTGAGAGACTCCTGCCCTACCTTTGAAACCTTTAACATTTATTTTCTTTTTTGGTGTCCTTTGCGTCCCCTTTTATACTGCCCGCTTGTAAGCTTTTTTACTTGTGTGTGTCTTGCTTAACTTTCCCAGCAGCATATCAAGTAAGATGCACTTTATAATTGAAATGAGCTGTGATGACAGCTCTGGTCTGTCTCTGTTTTGATTTGAAATGCTGTTACGTGAAATGCTAGGAAGGTGTCTAGACATGGTGCAGGGTAGGCACCACATGCACACTGTTAGCAGACAATAACTAATTCTTCAGTGCCAGTTGCTTTCCTCCTCCATGTTAGTTCAGAGGCAAAAAGGGTTGTGTGCCAATCTTTCCACCTGCACAGGATGGCTTTATCCATCTTTTTTTTTAACAATAAGCAAAACTAAACATAGGAAGTCTGTTTCTTAGAAATTGAAAAGTCATCTTACCAGTTTCATTAAAATGTGCCATTTTTTGCCTCTGTGTCACATAAGGGTCCATTAATTATCCTGCTGTCTCTGAACATGGCTCCAAAGAACAGGGTGACCACCTTTTTCAATAAAATTGCAGATTTACAATTTTCCAGCTCAGTGAATTTCTAGTATTTAAATATATTGAAAGGCCAATGCCAGGCTTCTCTGCCTTCCTGTGCATTTTGCTGGGAAGGGGGTGCTAGAAGGGTGCATGAGCAGAGAATGAAAAGGGGTAGAGGAGAAAAAACTGGGCAGACAGATATGATGGCATGAAAATCTTGCAAAATAGAAGGGATTAGAGTGCCTGGAGAGACCTGAAGTTCAGAGGGGGCTCTTGGTGCCTCCTCAACCCTCTCCTTGCTCCCAAGCAGGAGAGATGAACATTACTAGGATACCAGACAGGGCAAAGCTGATCTCTTCTGAGAAATGGTCCATCACTGTGACTGTAAGATGAGGTCCAATCTGGTCTAATTGCCTTCTGCCTCTTTGCGAGTTAACTTGCTGAGGGGATAGCAGGAGAGCAAGACACAAACTCTGCACTCAAATCCAGGTAGGTTTGACACAGCCATTCAGAAGTGTGGGATGATTCATTCTTCCTGTCTGCTTTTCTGGGTTGGGAAGGGGAAAGATGAGCCTACGCAGGATTTTCCTGCTGTTGTCTGCAATTGAAAATTTGTTTTCTCCATCTGCAAAACTGAACGTTCTTCTGGCAACAGAGAACTCAGGAAGAAGAAAAGTGGGGAATAAAGTAAAGTGACTGAAGAAAGAAAATTAATTGTGAACTAAATAAAAAATATCAGGAGGAAGAAGGATGGGGGCTAATGACAAAAGCAGAGCTGGGGTCTGCATTTTTTGCCTGTAGATTGTGATCCTGGCATATAACTAAACAACCTCTTGTGGCTGCCTTGCTTGAGTATGACAGCCTTTCTTACAGACACAAAATAATCAAACATCCAATGGAAATGTTTCCTAAAGCTCAGTCTTTCCACTCAGTACTTACAGTAATGTTCATGCTCCAGGGGACTGCTGGCATCCCACACTGCTGGTGGAGTGAACGACACTGCAGCTTCCTGTTAACATCTGAGCTGAGTTCCACGATACCGATCTGGAGGTGAGAAAGGACTTTGGGTACACGGATCATCTGCCAAGAACAGTATCAGCTTGTGCCTGGTTTTACACATGGGTGGACCAGCCCAGGCACATCCCTCCTTCGTGGCAGTGCTGCTAGGGGTAGTCGGATGGCTGTGCCCGGTGTAAGCTCTGTGCCACAAACTCTCTCCACCCACTTTGCTAAAACAGATTCAGAGACAGGAGAGTGCTCCAAGGGCCTATAAATATTGGCTCCCTGGTTTTCTTCAGCTCTCTGTTTTTGAAAAGAAAAATAAAGCTTCCTCTCTGGGGAGCTGAGAAAGGCAGGGGAATGCCTACCAAATATGACGAGCTGCTCTCCAAAAAGCTGTCAGGGAAGAGTTCCTCTGGCTGTGGAATTTGTGTTCAATACCACATTCATGAGAAACCCAGGGAGTCACCCCTGCGGCCTCATCTTCTTCCTGACTTGTTAGTAACATGCTTAGATCATGAAGTAGGTGATACAGCAAAGGCAAAACTGAAACCTCAGGCTTTCTGAATGCTGAAGTTCCTCAAGAGAAGTCTCAGCCATACTCTGGCAGAAATTAGAAATAATTTGGAATTATTGTCAACGGAGACAATGGAAAGAGAGCTTGATGTAGAATGCCATCTGGATTCCTTTTTATTAGAATCATAGAATAGTTAGGGTTAGAAAGGACCTTAAGATCATCTAGTTCAAACCCCCTGTCATGGGCAGGGACACCTCACACTAAACCATGCCACCCAAGGATTCGTCCAACCTGGCCTTGAACACTGCCAGTAGTGGAGCATTCACAACTTCCCTGGGCAGCCCATTCCAGCGTCTCATCACCCTCACAGTACAGAATTTCTTCCTTATATCCCATCTAAACTTTAACCCATTACCCTCTGTCCTGTCACTACAGTCTCTAATGAACAGTCCATCCCCAGCATCCCCATAGGCCCCCTTCAGATACTGGAAGGCTGCTATGAGGTCTCCACGCAGACTTCTCTTCTCCAGGCTCAATAGCCCCAACTTTCTCAGCCTGTCTTCATGTGGGAGGTGCTCCAGTCCTCTGATCATCCTCGTGGCCCTCCTCCGGACTTGTTCCAACAGTTCCATGTCCTTTTTATGTTGAGGACACCAGAACTGCACACAATACTCCAGGTGAGGTCTCACGAGAGCAGAGTAGAGGGGCAGGATCACCTCCTTCAACCTGCTGGTCACGCTTCCTTTGATGCAGCCCAGGATACAGTTGGTTTTCTGAGCTGAGAGCGCACACTGCTGGCTCATGTTCATTTTCTCATCGACCAACACCCCCAAGTCCTTCTCCACAGGGCTGCTCTGAATCTCTTCTCTGCCCAACCTGTAGCTGTGCCTGGATTGCTCCTACCCAGGTGTAGGACCTTGCACTTGTCATGGTGAAACTTCATGAGGTTGGCATCAGCCCACCTCACAAGCGTGTCAAGGTCCCTCTGGATGGCATTCCTTCCCTCCAGGGAATCAACCGAACCACACAGCTTGGTGTCATCGGCAGTCTTTCTGAGGGCGCACTCAATCCCACTGTCCATGTCAGCGACAAAGATGTTGAACAAGACCGGTCCCAACACTGATCCCTGAGGGACGCCACTCATTACTGGTCTCCAGCTGGACATTGAGCCATTGACCACAACTCTTTGTGTGCAGCCATCCAGCCAGTTCTTTATCCACTGAGGGGTCCATCCATCAAATTGATGTCTCTCCAATTTAGAGACAAGGATGTCATGTGGGACAGTGTTGAACACTTTGCACAAGTCCAGGTAGATGACATCAGCTGCTCTACCCCTGTCCATCAGTTCTGTAGCCCCATCATAGAAGGCCACGAAATTGGTCAGGCAGGATTTGCCCTTAGTGAAGCCATGCTGGCTGTCAACAAGCACCTTGTTGTTTTTCATGTGCCTTAACATGCCTTCCAGGAGAATCTGCTCCAAGATTTTGCCAGGCACAGAGATGAGACTGACTGGTCTGTAATTCCCCGGGTCATCCGTTTTCCCCTTCTTGAAAATGGGGGTTATATTTCCCTTTTTCCAGTTGTCGGGAACTTCACCTGACTGCCATGATTTTCTCAAATATGATGGACAGTGGCTTTGCAACTTCATTCTCCAGCTCCTTCAGGACCCACGGATGGATTTCATCAGGTCCCATGGACTTGTGCACGTTCAGGTTTTTAAGATAGTCTTGAACCAGATCCTCTCCTACAGTAGGCTCAAGGTCTTCATTCTCACAGTCCCTGTGTCTGCCTTCCAAGACTTGGGTTGTGCTGTCAGAGCCTTTGCAAGTGAAGACCAAGGCAAAGAAGTCATTCAGCACCACAGCTTTGTCCAAATACTGTGTAGCCAGTTTTTCCAATAGCTTCCGGAGGGGGCCTACGTTACCCCTACTCTGTTTTTTCTTCACTATGTACCTATAGAATCCCTTCCTGTTATCCTTAACATCTCTAGCGAAGTTCAATTCTAACTGGGCCTTAGCTTTCCTAACCTGTTCCCTAGCTTCCTGAACAACATCCCTGTATTCTTCCCAGGCTGCTTGTCCTTGCTTCCACTTTTTATAAGCCTCTTTTTCCTTTGAATTTTCTCTTTTATTGAAACTACCTCACTTTGATTACATTGATCTCTATCACACACACAAAACAGCTAAGGTTCCAGCAAAACTACATATAATTTCAGTTTGTGTTATAAGTAAGAGCTTTTAATTTTGCCAAAAGAAAATATTTATACTGAAACCCTTTTATAAAAAATCATTTCTTGTCCCAGTACAAAGAAGCAATACTGAAAACTTTTGTGCTTTCATACGACATGTTAAGAAATTAGTTTTGCTACTTGCTCTGGTAGGATCAGGAGTTCATCCAAATTACTGAGTGTGTCTATTTTTTGCTCTAAAACCTTGTTCACGGAAGTCATCCTGTTGACCATATTCTTCATTATTAAAATCCTAGCCTTTTTTCTAATTTTTGAAATTCTTAATCAGTCACAGTTCCCTGTTCCCACATTCTTGGTATAAACATGGCAATAAATAGTTGTTTACAAGGCACAAAAATGCATCACAAAAATTAACGCAAGGCTGAGGCTCTGCTGTTGTTTGCTTACATTGCTGTGGAGAAATATGCATGCTTATTATGAAAACTTGCCTTCAGAAAAAGATAAGTGTTTGAAACTTGCAGATACAGACTAAACTTGTTTATTCAATCCGTTTTAATATATTTGCCAAATACACTAATGAGTATGCTCTCCTGAATTGCTCAGGTGGATAAGACAGAAAGGTTTTCTTCTCTCCTCCTCCCCTGACACACATGGAGACACATGTACACACACACATATACACACATGTACATTCACTCACATACAAGTCCTAATGCACAGAAATCCCATCAAGCATTTTAATAGCACTGCCAGGCTTTGCAGCTCAGTTATTTTTTGTGTAAGAAGATTAGGACTTGGACTGACTTTCTATGGCATATGGAGAACACGCAGTACAATTAAGCTCACTAAAGACTAGAGACAACATATATCAGCAGCTAAAAGGTATGTACACCATACAGCTGCAAATGAAATATAGCAACAGAACAAGAGGCATGAACAGATTCCATTACATCCATTACATAGGATTATAGTGATGGCCTGAAAACAAAACTGAAAATTAAAATCTCAAAAAAAAAAAAAAAGAAGAGTTGGGACTCCTATGGAGTTTTAACAATTTTTTAGCTGAGAGGGTCTTCCTTTAACTCTTTTCCAAGGCAGAGATGCATCTCCCTGAGGTTGAAAACAAAGACTCCTGCCTGCTTTCACAACTCAGACTGGAAGCAGTGATTAGAGTTTTTCTCCTCCACATTTTTTCATAGTTGCTGTGCACTGGGAAGAGTGCAAGGTACAAGGGAACTACCACTTGTATAGAACAGGGTACTGTGCACAAACAGACTTTTCATATTTGATGATATATTTTGACTGCTGTGAGGGCACAGCATCCATCATGTTTTGGTGTACATATGGGGTGCTTTTGCCCATTCCTCACCAGGCAGCAGGGGAAGCAATGGAGCTGGAGGCCTTTGGGCTACACACACCCCAGTACTCCAGGGACGTCATCACCCTTCTTTCAGAGATGGCTGTGAGATACCCTTCCAACTTCCCAAGGTCTATGGGAGCCACTTCTCAAACCTTCACACAATTGAGCACCATTCAAGTGAGGCTCCATCTTGCTCAATTAAAGAGGGGTTTTTGTTTTATTTAAATTAGGTGTAAGGCCCTGTTGCAATCTGATTTCTTTTGGAGGTCAGATGTATGCGTCCTTAGGTAAAGTGAAGAATATCACTCGGCAATGACATTAGTACACAAAGAAACCAGAGTAATACCTAGTGATTTCCTCACAAGTGCAAGTTGCACTGCAATGCACTTGCATAGCAGAGTGGGACAAGTCTTCTCATGTAGGTGGACAGAACTTTTCAAAGAATTATCAGATAAACTGCTCCTGCATGACTTTTTGAGGATGACTAATACTGAAGATGGATGGTTGTCAGAGAGAGGCACAGTTACTTTGTAATTTTTGCTAAATACACGATTTACAATCCTGCTAGGCTTTAGGGTACTGCGGTTTTTTTGATTCTTGGGTTTATTCCCCACAGTTGACAGCGTGGCTAATTAAGCCATTTCCAGTCCCCCATCTTCTTTGCACAAACAGCAAAACATAATGAGTTTCCAAACAAGAAAAATATTTAGCATCCTAAAAATGAAGTCCAAGTTGCTTTGAAGAATTCAGAAGTCTGTTGTCCTGCAGCCTTACTGAGATACATGTATTGTTTCTGGCATGTTGTATATTATGGTGCCTTGTTCAGAAATAC